TGTCAAATAAATAAATAAAATCTTTAAAAAAAAAAAAAGAATATCATAATATATCAAAAAAAAATGTCATAATAAATCCATCTGAATCAAGGGTCTGGAATGCAAATATAATCTATGCCAAGTTTAAATTAGCCCACATGCATCCGAAAATATCTGAAACAACCCTAAAATTCCTTAAAATTCACACTCCTAATAAAAATCATCTACCTGATTTTCTAAAAAGATATGGTTATCTCTTTAGGAAAAAGCTAAATTTCTGCAAAAGCAACTTCCTTTGTTTAAAAGTATAGCCACTGCTTGTTTTAAAAAAGCCAACCAGACAAAGGCCACTGAGGCTAATCAACTATTTAATAAAACCTAGCTCTGGGGCACCGAGGTGGCTCAGTCAGTTAAGCATCTGCCTTCAGCTCAGGTCATGATTCCAAGGTCAGGGCTGGGATCATGACCTGCATCAGGCTCCCTGCTCAGCAGGGAAGTCTGCTTCTCCCTCTCCCTCCCTCCTCACTCATGCTCTCTCTCAAATAAATAAAATCTTTAAAGAAATAAAAAATAAAACCTAGTTCTGACTGTATTTTAATGTAACTTCCTCTTAATATGCAGACATTTAATTTTTAAAATCAGATCTAGAGACAGAGAAGGAATTCAAAATGTTTAAAAGACACTTAAATCAAGAAACTATCTTAAATAGAGGGTATAACTTATAACTTCTTGCTTATATAATATAGCCTCAACACTCAAATCGCAAGAACTCTAGATGTCATTTTTGTGACAGTAGAAAAATCAATACTAGAAATGTTCAGAAGGGCATTTTATGAACAAAGTACAATTATTTTTGTTTTCACTGGTGTTTCTGTTGTTATTAGAACACAAGAATTTTTAAACGTGGCATGCTTACCTATCCCTAGGAAGAGCAGTCCATGCCAGACTATGTGATGTTCCAGCAGAGATCTGCTGAATAGCTATGCCATCTAAGCCACTCACTTTTTTTGGCTTAGTAATAGGACCTGTGGAATTTCCTTGGCCACATTGCCCCATTGAGTTATTGCCCCAGGCATAAACTTCATTATCTAAAAATAAAATAAAGAAAAACCAAATTTAAATGTAATACATTTATAGAAGATAATAGTTAATACTATTTCTTTTAAAAACAAATGACATTACCATGAGAAAGAGCCAAACAATGACTGTCTCCAATAGAAATATCAACTATTCTTGTGGCAGCCAGTTCTTCAATAAGCTTGGGTCTCAAAGCAGTAGCTTCTGAAGAACCACAACCTAGACAAGCTCCACAGCCCCAAGCATAGACCTGAAACAAACAGGAAAGCACTACATATAATATCCTGAGATATTAGGTTGAAGACTTACGTTGTTTAAAAATAAATATCATCTAGGGGAACCTGGGTAGGGTAACTGGTTAAGTGTCCAACTCTTGGTTTCAGCTTAGGTCATGATCTCAGGATCATGAGATGGAGCCCTGCATCTGGCTCCACACTGAGTCTGGAGCCTGCTTGGCATTCTCTCTTTCCCTCTCCCTCTGCGCTGCCCCCCATCCCCCGACCAACTCACGTGCACGTGCATGCGCTCTCTCTCAATAAATAAATAAAATCTTTTAAAAAATAAATTAAAAAATAAGAGTGTGGCTTGATACTAAATAACTTTTGGGGTGCCTGGGTGGCTCCATCAGTTAAACGTCCACCTTTGGCTCAGGTCATGATCCCAGGGTCCTGGGATCAAACCCCGCACTGGACTCCCTGCTCAGCAGGGAATCTGCTTCTCCCTCTTTCCCTCCCCCTGCTTGTGTTCTCACTTGCTCTCTCTCTCTCAAATAAAATCTTGAAAAAAATAAATAATAACCTTCTGCTGTTAAAAATAATATTTACTGTTTTGATTGTTAAAGATTTTATAGTTATTTATTTTGCTATTTTTAAATGTTCACTATACAGGCAGACAAGCAGCTGAGCTGAAAAGAAAAATACCTGGTCATAGAAAAAATGGAAGGATCTTAGAAGGATCTTAGCAGCTTAGAAATACTGTTGCTATCTTACAACCTCTCTTTCATATGTTTCCTACTCTGTCTGCAGGTCTCAACAAATATTTCTTGGTTAATTAGACCAAGGTGTGAACATATAAAATGAATTATATAAGTCACAAAACTGATGTTTATTATTCAGTTAAAAATCACATCACCTCATTGTTATAATAATTTTAATGATCACTTACAAAGAGGGCCATGTGAAGCAGTAGTCAACACAGCTCTCCGATCATCTTCATTTTTGGCTAATTAATACAACAACCACCACTGACTGATTTAAGAAGCTTAGGGGAAAGGTGAATTGAAGAGGAAGATAAAAGGGTGAATGCCTATCAGATGGGCAGCCCAAAATCAAAACAATTAGCAAACTGAGTGACTTTTTTTTCCTTCGGTGAGTTTTGGTAATATCATATAGACTCTTACCCTTATGCCACTGGGTTCGGGAATTTTTTTTGTCTTGCAATTCTTTCAGTAAAGATTACTGAGGGGTTAAACCTCTTAAGCAAAAAAAAGAGCAGCAAATACTTGTACCAGTTGCTAGAGAACTACTTAAGACAAAAACAGAACAAAATTCCAGTACACTAAAGGTGTATGTTAGAAGGGGTTAAGAACATAGACAAGTAAGGTGAAAAAATACATAGTCAAAGTCATTCAAAATTTCCTAAATCACTCATCAAGTACAATACAGTTCTGTCATTCAATAAGATCCATATAGCTAGAGTCTGCTCTTGCCGTGTTCCTCTGGCTGAACACTAGATGAAGAAATATCTGGCTTGTATTTAGGGACCTTGCTGTATAAAATATACATACTGTTTTTTTCAACATAAGAATCACACTTAATATGATGGGAAGTCAGCAGTGAAGTGGCCTGAGAGGACTGAGGGAAAAACAGATGTTGCTCATCTCATGCTCAGCAAGTATAAGAGTAAACAGAACTACCCTTGTCATTTAAACGTATTTCTCTCTCGCTTTATTTTTTCCTAAGTATATATATTTGATTTCACATAACTTAGCATACTCATGATACAACTCTTCTATATAGCAACTAACTCACAAGTTCCTTTGAAATTCAATGTAATAAATGTATTATCATTATTAGCAACTAATAGTTGAACAGTACTTGGTAATTTATAGAAATTTTCAATTCATGTAATTACCTTATATGATCATTTGTAAGCAAAGCAGATATCATTACCCCTCCCATACCAAAGAACCATATGATGATCAAGGGAAGTCTGTGATTTGCCTATGGCTATACATTAAGCAAGTGAGCATCTTCTGGCCTCAATTCATAGATTCTTACCACAAATCCCATAGTGAGGAAGATGTAAAAGAGAAGTTCCAGGTTTTAAGGCAGCATCCAGCATTGTAACAAATGACTAATGTAATGAAATACAGGGTAATGAATAGTTTGAGTTTGATTTTTTAAGACACAAGGCATTCTAGTCTCTCCGAAATAATTACACTATACGCTAATTTCAGCTTTGCTGTTCATCATCTGCCTTGTGAATTAGTCAGAAAACATTTTTATACCACTACCTGGTACGTAATGGATTCCTACATGTGAGAAAAAGAGTGGTCAGCTCACTTTCTCACTGTGGTTGCTAATGAATGTAAGAAGAAAATTATTACTAAGTCTATCACCATACCTGGACCCTCTCCATCACCAACAAAAAACAGAGAGAAGTCAAAATATGCACATAGAGGTTCAAAAGTTAATAAAGGGATCGTAAAGTTCTGACTACCCTAAGCCTGACTAGCCCTTTCTTAGAAACACCTATCCTTCTCAGATCATCTTCCATATGGAAATTTCTCCTTACCCTCTTTTGATCATCTTCTTGCCTTCTTAGTTCCTATCACTGGTTTCAACAAGATCTATTCACACTTTCTCCCACTATCTGTAATTTTTAGGAAAAAATTTAAAGGGTGCTGAGTGCTAAAAAGGTTTTATAAAACCTGTTAATACAAAGAATGGGGCTGAGGACGGGTTTATCTGGGTCACACAGGCCAGGTGAGAAAATCTGGTTCCTTTGCAAATACTCTACCTCTTCAAACAGGAGAAAATACTTCATTTCAATAGATGCCTTTAAAATGTTATTTTCTTAAGGGGCGCCTGGGTGGTTCAGTCGGTTACGCGTCTGACTCTTGGTTTCAGCTCAGGTCCTCATCTCAGGGTCCTGAGATCGAGCCCCATGTGGGACCCCACATTCAGCATGAGTCTGCTTAAGACTGTCTGTCTCTCTTTCTACCCTACCCACACTCTCTCTCTCAAATAAATAAATCTTAAAAAGTAAAATGTATTTTTTTAACTTTAAAGTTTAATTATGATTATTACTTTTTAGTCACCTACTCCTCTGAAATAATTTAATCCTTTTATGATCATTCCTTATTCCTACCTGCCCTGTTGATGTTAAAGCAAGTGAAGACTGGCTTCCAGCACAAACTTTGCGAATGAACATTCCTTGTAAAGCTTCAACAACTTTAGGTTTATACACTCTGTTAGTATCTCCATGGCCAAGTTTGCCTACCAAAAAAAAAAAAAAAAAGCACATTCAAGTTAAACAATTTATTTGTTTTAAAGAAACTCTGATCTTTTACCTAAGTATTCATGTTGATAAATATCACTCATCTTTCTATCACTAACCTGACAGATGTGCAAAACTCTGTTTCTGACAGCAAAGGAGGTGAACAAATGAATGTTTTTGTTACAAGAAAGAAACAACCAACCAACAGGCTTCTGAATCTTAATTTCAAGCAATTAAAACCACTTTAAGAGAGATATGGAAAATTGTTTTTCTTTCTCTACTTTTAGTGGTCATCATTCTAACTTCAAATCTGCTGATGTAATAAATAGGTTGTAACAAGCAGTTTGTATGTATCTAATTATTTTTAATTTTTGAACAGAGCCAATAGTTCCTGAAATAGAAAACTTGGCAAATCACTAAAGAAGAAAAGCAAATGGCCAACAACATATAAATTCAACCTCACTAAGAATCAAGGAAATATTAATTAAATACCATTTCACTACTGAAATTATTTTTTAATACCAATTGTTGTTGAAAGACATGGGAAAATAAGCAATCTCACACTGCTTTGTGAATTTGAATAAGCAAATTCACACTGTAGTTGTGAATAAGTGGACAAGGATTTAGTCATTCGTTGTATAGTTTTTGATACAGAAAAATATTTGGAAACCATCTAGGTACTCAATAATAAACTGATTTTTTTAAGTTGTATTACAATTACATAAGGGAATACATTGAGCTACTTAGAAAAATGTATAGCCAGAGAAAGATATTCAAAAAATACTGTCAGATAAAAACCAGGTTATAAAATATCTAAGATATATACATGTCTGCTTTGGTTTTCAAAAAAGACATCTATGTGGAAATACATGTACATGTTTATATAAATACATATATACTTAGAGGTCTACCTATGTAAGTTTTAACAATGGCTATAGCAACATTCATTGAAACAGTTCATTTAAATTTCTAAAATTTCTACTCATCTTTAGAGTTTTCCTACAATAGGCATGTACAACAGAAAAGTACATTTTTTTTTAAATCTCAAGAAAACAAGCCCAAAGCTATCAATAAATAATTTTTTACATACCATTGTCTCCTCCTCCAAAAGACCATACAGTTCTCCCATCTTTAGACAAAGCAATAGTATGTGAACTGCCACAAGAAACCTCTCCTACATTGCTAATGTCTTTTACTAATGTTGGAATGTTACGGCTATTACTGTCTCCGTGACCTTGGATAAAACACACACAACAAAGAATAATGTTGTTAACTCTTTCTTTAGGACATTACTTCACAGGCAGAATAAACATTTTAAGTTAATGATAGAAATGAGGTATTTTTAAAGTGCAATTAAATATGAAAGAGAATCATTTCCAGTATCTATCTTCTCATCCAATCTTCTAGGCTGCTCTCAAACTGAGACACACAGTCCCTTCAGTGAATCATTAGAATATTCTATATATGCTCCTCTCCCAGCACTTGCCTAATGCTATCTAGTATCATGCTCATATCAACTTGTTTTCACACACACTTCAGGATCATGACGGTATCTTTCTTGTCCCTGAAATCCTTCATGTCTGCTCATAATAGGTACTCAGTAAATACTTGCTAGATTTAATTACAGCTTAAATTTCAGCATTAGAATCCAGGTATTCGCAGTATAAAACTGTCTTCCTCTGGGCTAAAACTAACAAAATAATTAACAGTTTTTTGGCCTATTAAATCTAGTCTCACTGCTTCTCTGTAACCATCATTTCTATTTTTCTGTGAGAGTAACTTCAATTTTAAAAAAGCTTACCTAGTCTTCCAAAGTCTCCTTCACCCCATGTGTATAATTCACCATCCTCTGTGACAGCAGCACTATGTCTGTACCCAGCAGACACACAAACAACTACCTGCATGGAACACAAAGCACACCAAGATGAAGAACATGAATATGCTAAAACATATAGTTCAGATTTGATCTTATGCACAGAGACTTCAGAGATACTGATATTCACAACTTATCCAGAAGTTGCCATGTACAGTTGTAGAGGCTGTGCCGAGGACAAGGGTGCCTGAGGTCATGAAAGTGCTGAAATACAGCCTCTGCTCTGTGTGCCAAGCCATGAAACCTGGCTTCCACCCGAAGAAGATGATAACTTTCCTTAATTCACGCAAAGGCACTGTGAAGGTTAGCAGGAGCCCTGAACACATCAATCTAATCACTTGCAAGAATACTGTATCACGAATCAAGTCTTTACTCAAAGAGTTGGCAGGGGCTAAACACACATGGAACAATAAAAAAATATAATGTTAACATAAAACCTACAGTCCTGGCTAATCAAGAAAAACTCATTACATAATAGGGATAATTCTCAAAAACATAGTGACTGTTACCAATGCAGAAAGATCTAAGCAGTATATAAGCTTATATTAATTAAACTCTTAGCAGTATCTCTTTACCCTCAATTAGCTGTACAGTTGATGAGTAGAATCAGGGGAATAAGAGTATAGAGCAACATAACTGGGAGATGACTCATAGCTTTTACCACTGATCAAAATAGTGATTTAACAGAAAAAAAATATCTATACTAATTACTCTATCTTTTCAATCTCCAAAAATTAGAACTCACTTTAGAAAATTCAAAATTTAGATTCAATTAAAAATACTGAGAACCATGCAATGCCTGGGTGGCTCAGTCAGTTAAGTGTCTGCCTTCAGCTCAGGTCATGATCTCAGGGTCCTGGGATGGAGCCCTGCATCAGGCTCCCTGCTCAGCTGGGAGTCTGCTTCTCCCTCTGCCCCTCCCCCTCAACTCATGCACAATCTCTCTCTCTCTCTAAAATAAATAAAATTTAAAAACAAACAAATACTGAGCACCTAATACATTCTGGATAATATGCTAAAAACTTCTGAAATTTTTATCTATAAGTTATTAATTTACTTTTTAGAATACTTTTCCTTTATGACATTCATACTAAGTTATATTTAATTGGCAATGTTTCCATTAAAAATAGAATATAACATAATAAAATAAAATTAAAATTAAAAATAGGACATTAAAAGGAATACAAGTAAAAAAATGTTTAAAGAATTGGAATTAAGGAATAAAGAAGGTGCTAGAAAGACTAGAAAAATACAACTTCAAATAGTATTTATCTGAAAATTTCCTTAGAGCCCCACATTCATACTCTTATCAAGTATCCCATGATGCTGTCAAGTGGAATATTCCAAAGCTCACTGCTTTGGGGCTGATGTCTAAGTTAAAATACTGTAAGTTATAATAAAGTAAAATTCATTTGATAGCCAATCTTGTCAGACAACCTCCCATGAAGGAAAAGTGTTCCAACTTGCAATTCTGGTATAATATAAAAATTTAAACTTTAAAAGGGTCTTATATAAAAAAACTTTTGTAGCAAGAATGTAATCTTAAAATAGAGGAACCTGTATAATTGCACATAAGTTCAGGGAAATACCTTCACTTCTTTAAAGGTAAAATAGAAATTAGAAGAGGAGATCTAGGTTCAGTTTCTAATGGTGCTAATTATTTGTATGTGATCTTAGGCAAGTGAGTTAACCACTCTAAATGTCTCATTTCTATTAAGATGCCACCTCCTCCAACCTTATGATCTCATTACCTAATATCACCCCACCCAAGTTAGTATCTAATACATTACTCAATTTTTTCTTTATTATTATTTGAAATTATTTTATGTGCTTACTTATTATCTATATCCACAGATTAAAAGCTCCATGAGACCACGGATCTTGTCTGTTTTGTTCACTACTGTATGTCTAAGGCCTAAAACACTGCCTGGCACTTGGAAGATACTGAACAAGTATTTGTGAAATGGATGATTCTCAGTTTCCTCATGTGAAATGAGAATAACTACCTTAACAAAGTTGTTATAAGAATTAAAATTAAGTAATGTATGTGAAAGTGTTTGGTAAACCATAAGGCAAATATACAAAATATAAAAAGGATTTGGGGGTGGGGGGGAACTTCAGAAAGAACACATCAAAATCTGAAACATATAATCACTTGTAGCACAGCACATCTAATTACTTTTAAATACAAAAAGAAAGCACATACCTTTCCCTGCAGAGGGCCCTGAATAAGCTTGGGATATTTCTGTGTTGAACTATTTCCATGTCCCAGTTTCCCATAATCACCATCTCCCCAACTGAAGACTTCTCCTTCTGTTGTAAAAGCTAAGGTGTGACCATCAGATCCTTTAGAAGATGAAACCTTTTTAATGGACCTGTGAGGTTCAAATGTTAACTTTTTTAAAGTGGACTGATTATTAGAATCTCCAAGGCCCAGTCTCCCATAGCTGCCTTTACCGCAAGCTCTGACAGAGCCATCCGTAGAAATAACAAAAGTGCAGTATTGTCCAGCTTCAATCTATAAGCAAAAAAACAGAACAGTAAAATAAAATGCTTCTGTGAGAATCAAAGTAAAATATTTAATGCTAGTTTTATCAAAGAGGTTCAAAGAAGTCTTTAAAAGCAGAATATGGCATGAATCTCCAGAGATATTAAACAGAAAATTAAGAAAACTATAAATGGCCTTTTCATGGTGACTTTATTGTTGAGCTCAAATTAATGCATATTTTCTCTCTTCAGGGTATCTACCCTGTCATGATTCAATAAAACAACAAAGTAAAATGTTTTAGCCTCATCTTATAATTGGTGGGTGAAGGGCAAGGAATAAAATTATCTTATAAATTCCTTAGAGTCCATTATGGCAAGGACCATACAAAATGTATTTTACATTCATTTGGAAAAAACCTAACTTTAAATGAAACTAGTAATAAAATAGAAAGTTGTAGCTTGGCTAAAAGGTAGCTACAAATGTAAAAAGTAATCATAATAAGAAAATAAAATGCCAATCTGGCAAAAGGAAAATTCCGGCTTTTGCTTAGTCTTATTTACCATTTGCATTGAATACAATGGTTAAGTCTGTTGTCATTCATAATTCTTTTAAAAAATCCAGCTCCTAATTTAATTTTTTGAAACTTGGAAACCATGTTATTAGGGAAATGGAATAAAAATTTTTTTTTCTATTAAGATGAAAAAAGTGATACAGCATGGTATATAGAAACTATAGATAGGGGCGCCTGGGTGGCTCAGTCGTTGGGCGTCTGCCTTCGGCTCAGGTCATGATTTCAGGTCCTGGGATTGAGCCCCGCATTGGGCTCCCTGCTCTGCGGGAAGCCTGCTTCTCCCTCTCCCACTCTCCCTGCTTGTGTTCCCTCTCTCACTGTGTCTCTCTCTGTCAAATAAATAAATAAAATCTTTAAAAAAAAAAAAAAAAAAAACAATATAGATAACAAACAAGAATCTTCACTCACTTAAAAAACCAAACAAACACCTCTTAAAACTACTTACAGTAAACTGTGTCATCTACCAATGCGTAAGATATGCAGAGAACTCACAGTCTGAGCATCGGAGAAACTGGGAGCCAGTTTGGGCTGCAGTATTTTCTCCTGTGTGCCTTCCACCAGCTGATGGCTGCTGTTGCTCCCCCAGACATAAACCTCACAGGTTTCCGAGACAATGGGGGCATCACCAGTCTGAATACTGTCTGGGCTAGCACACGTCCTTGAGTAATCAGACGCCATTCTGCAAACCTATTAAAATTAAAAACATGCAAAACATAGGCAAGACATTCTTAATGGAGACAGCTTTATAAATGTTGTCTGAAATTACTGTTTATTTTCCTTACTTCTAAAACTCTCAACTGCTCAAATAACCTAAAAACAATACATCTAATTTTAAATACAGTTGGCTAGACTACTTACTCCTGCAAAAGATACTAATAAAAGTGGCAAAAATGAGGAGGAGGAGACACATAATCAAGACTTTTTTTTAACTAATAATTATTGCACACACAGCATTACAGAAAAAAAAACTTAACAAAGTAGAAGGGGCGCCTGGCTGGCTCAGTCAGTAAAGCATGCAACTCTTGATCTCAGGGTTGTGGGGCTTGAACTTTTTAAAGTTTACTTTAAAAAAAAAAAATTGATAATCCTATCACCTTAATACAACGAATGTTATCTTTTTTACTTGTGTTCTTCCAGAATTTTGCATATACACATTCTTTAACATAGTTATCACAGTGGATATATAAAAGTGATGAAATAAAAGTCACCTAATCTTCATGAATGAACTGTTAATTTTCCACCTAATGTAAAAACCCCAGTTCACTTAACCCTTTTATTTATTTTTCTTTTTATTAACATATGATGTATTATTTGTTTCAGGGGTATCCGTCTGTGGTTCATCAGTCTTACACAATTCACAGCGCTCCCCATAGCACACACCCTCCCCGATGTCCATCACCCAGCCACCCCATCCCTTCCACCCGCCTAACCCTTTTCTTTTAAATAGGACATTTATTCTTTTTGTTATATAAGCCATTTTTTAATTTTTTAAAAAAGATTTTATTTATTTATTTGACAGAGAGAGACAGCAAGAGAGGGAACACAAGCAGGGGGAGTGGGAGAGGGAGAAGCAGGCTTCCTGCCTAGCAGACAGCCTGAGGCAGGCCTCAATCCCAGGACCCTGGGATCATGACCTTAGCCGAAGGCAGATGCTTAACGACTGAGCCAGCCTATACAAGCCATTTTTAAGAACATAGTTTTGACTACATTTTTCATTACTCCTTAAGTAGAGAAGCTCAGAAACGGGGCTACTATAACCCAAAAGGACAACAACCTTATGATTCTTGAAACATACTATAACAAACTGCTTTCCACAATGGTTCTACTATATATCACCAGCAGTATATTTTATGTATACATAAAATAAAAATCATCACTTATTTACCATCTGTGTTGAATATAATGGTAAAGTCTGTTGCCATTCATAATGCTTTTTAAAAACCACACTTCTCCACCTGCCGTCCCCCACAACCCTGCCAAAAGGACAGGACCCAGGGTGGCCATCCCAGTTGCCCTAACCAAGGAATACGTCTATATGAGAGTACCAGTCTCACTGCATCCATACCAATAATAAGTATTATGCTTTTAATTTTTTGCAAACTTAAGTGGGATAAAAGAGGATGCATTATTTTAACTTGACATTTCATTATTATAACAGAACTAAAGTTTTTCTATTTATTTGTTTACCACTAACATCTGCCCATTTATTTATTAGGGCTTAATGGATTTTTAATTGGCTTATATGAACTCTATACAATAAAAATATTAACTCTGGGGGCACCTTGCTGGCTCAGTCAGTAGAGCATGTGATTCTGGATCTTGGGGTCGTGAGTTAGAGCCCCATGATGGGTGTAGAGATTACGTTAAAAAAAAAAAATTAACTCTTGACTACAGCTGTTAATTCTTTTGCCTGTGCAGTAGTGTTTTTTTGCTCAAACAAAACAGAAGGAAAACCTTCAAAAGTCAATCTTCAAAAGCCCATTAAATGGAAGGGGATAGAATAATTTTAGTCAGAATCATTAAATAGTAACCAAAACAACAGGATGACATGTGTGTTAAACATTTTCCAATGAACATGAGGACAGTTGTGAGAACATACAAAATATGTGTAAGTGAAGGCTGCCAGTCCCTAATAAAAGATCTGAAATTTTGCTGGAGACAAAAGGAGGGTAGTGGGGCCAAGAGTGTTAGAATTTTTTAATCTAAAGATCTATTACAAGTTTTATATGATAAATCACAGCTCTCCTCCTCCAACCCACATCCCCCAAAAAAGAGCAAGAGAAAAAAAAATTACTTATAGGGCCTAGAAATGTATGTTTAAAAACTGGAGCAGGGACAGGGTAGAAATCCTGCAGCAGCAATGTCATTTTCTAAACACCCTGATTCACTACACAGAACAACTACAAGGCCAAACTTCAAATCCACACCTAACATTCACAACAAAACTAGGTGACAAAGGTACCTCCAATAACTCTGAAATATAAGCAGATGCAGACAGATAGTCTGGAATAATTTGATGTATCAGAGAGCAAGAAAGCTATGAAAGTTTACTAGGCCTGTATCAAAAGAACTTAGTGGGGGCGCCTGGGTGGCTCAGTCGTTGGGCGTCTGCCTTCGGCTCAGGTCATGTCCTGGGATCGGGCCCCGCATCGGGCTCCCTGCTCTGCGGTAGGCCTGCTTCTCCCTCTTCTACTCCCCCTGCTTGTGTTCCCTCTCTCGCTGTGTCTCTCTCTCTCAAATAAATAAAATCTTAAAAATAAATAAATAAAAAGAAAAAAAAATTTAAAAAAAAACATTATGCAGAGGATATTAAAGTACCTTATTTACCTCCATCCCTGCAACCCATAGGTAATTTTGTTCTTTTTAATTTTGCTAGTTTGATAGCTATAAAGGCATATGTCGTTGTTCTAATTTCAACATCCCCAATTACTAATAAATCTGAACATTTTATATTTATTGATCATTCGGATATACTCTTCTGGGAAATGCTTGTTCATAACCTTCTAGTCATGTATTTTTCTATCGGGTTAGCTTTCTTGTCAACTTTTAAAAGCTTTCTGTATTTTATCATTGTCCTCAACACGGCAAATATTTCTTCTAAATCTATCTTTTGCATACACACACACATCTCTTTGATAGCTTCTGCTTTCCATTCTTGGTTAAAGGAGCACCCCCACATACTCATACCCAGATTACATATGAATTCTAGATTATACAGGTATTCACTTGGGACTTTCTTAAGGTATTTTTGTTTTGTTTTTTTTTAACACGAGTCTTTAATCCACGTGGAATTTAAATAAATTCTATATTCATTTGGAATTGTAATAAGTTCTACATGTAAAACTGGTTTCAAGTTTATTGTTTCCAGGTGTATGGCTAGTTATGCAATCACCATTTATTAAGTAATCCAGGACTTCCAAGACAGCTGAGGACAATGGCAGCTGAATAACTATCTCCCCAAATTTCTTCCCTAACAGTGAGAAGGAAAAATTGAATTATTATTTTTTTTTAAGATTTTATTTATTTATTTGACAGAGAGCGAGAGAGAGCAAGAGAGAGCACAAGCAGGGAGAGCAGCAGACAGAGGGAGAGGGAGAAGCAGGCTTCCCGCTGAGTAGGGAGCCTGATGCGGGGCTCCGTCCCAGGACCCTGGGATCATGACCTGAGCCGAAGGCAGACGCTAAACCAACTGAGCCAACCAGGTGCCCCAGAAAAACTAAATTCTCCACAAAACCAAACCAGTTCTGAATCTATTGTCAGACCATGGATCCCTATGAGAATCTAATGAAAGCTGTGGATTCTGACTCCCCAAGAATAAAATTCTTATGCACATACTCATAAAAATATGAGCAAAATTCCAAAGGTTTCACAGATGTCCTAAAATCATCTATGTACTCCAAACTGATAAAATTTTATGGATATTCTAAAACATCTTATTAGTACCAGTAGAAAATCTTTAAAAACCGACTGTATTTCAACAAATAATTCCAAAATTTAGATATAACTTAGACCATATTTCTAACCGTAAAGCAGTAAAACCAAAAAGTATTTACAGGACAACGAATATGGAACTATCTCCAAGATACATTAAGTGAAAAAAATACATACTCATGTGTAGTATAATTCATATATAGTAATATTTACATTAAAAAGGATTTAAATATGCATGTATGTTCGTAAATGCAGAAAACTCTGGAATACACACAAAAACCTAAAAATATTAGTTGCCTTTGAGGGGAGGGGACCTGGGTTACTGGAAGATAAGAGTAGGAAAGATATTTACTTTTCACTGCATAACCTTCTGAATTTCATATATGTGCATTTGTTACCAAAGCAAATAAAAAAAAATCCATTTTTAAATAAAGAAAACCAGGGAAGCCTGGGTGGCTCAGTCATTAAGTGTCTGCCTTCGGCTCAGGTCATGATCTCAGGGTTCTGAGATCGAGCCCCGCATCTGGCTCCCTGCTCAGTGGGAAGACTGCTTCTCCCTCTACCACTCCCCCTGCTTGTGTTCCCTCTCTCACTGTATCTCTCTCTGTCAAATAAATAAAAATCTTTCAAAAATAATTTAAAAAAAGAAAGAAAACCAAAATAAAGAAAAAGCCAAATTTTTAGAAATGCTCTTCTACAGTTTTTTAAACAAAAAGGGGAAGAGAAAAGGATTTCACAATTTCTAGAAAAGTATATAAATCATTATATATCAACAAAATGTAGCCAAAGTTGACCCAAAACAAATGTACATCAAGAATGACTTTGATCGGGGCGCCTGGGTGGCTCAGTTGGTTAAGCGACTGCCTTCGGCTCAGGTCATGATCCTGGAGTCCCGGGATCGAGTCCCATATTGGGCTCCCTGCTCAGCAGGGGGTCTGCTTCTCCCTCTGCCCTCTTCCCTCTCGTGCTCTCTGTCTCTCATTCTCTCTCTCTCAAA